GGCGCGTGAGAGCCTTGGGCTCTCTGGCTGAGGTATGCCGGGCGCGAGCACGCTTGCACCGGGCGCGCTTGCCCCCTGGTGCCTCTAGATGTGCCACGCCGGGCGCAACCATGGGTGCGCCGGGCGCGCACGAGGATGTTGACTTGATGTGCTTTTAGCTGTTAAACTTTGCTGAAAATTGCTGAGAAAGGTTGTTTTATGCTGAACTAAGCTGAATTTGATGATATGCTGTGCTGATTAGTTGTTGATGCTGAAAATATGATGTTAAGCTGTGATAAATGTTTAATGTTGTGCTGAGCTGGGCTGTTACTGATGATTTTCAATGATGTCTTATATGATATTGTTGTGCTCTAGAATGATGAGCTGAGTTGTGAGTAGTAAGCTGTGTTGAATACTACTTAGCTGTGTTAAATACTACTTAGATGTGTTGTATGCTGATTTGCTGTGCTGTGCTGTATACTGATGTGCTGTGCTATGCTATGAAATGCTAAGTTGTATGCTGTTATAGCCGCTATGTCGATGTTGTTATAGCCACTATTGTGGTGTTGTTATAGCCGCTATGTCGATGTTGTTAGCCACTATTGTGGTGCTGTTATAGACGCTATGTCGGTGCTGTTAGCCACTATTGTGGTGCTGTTATAACCGCTATGTCGGTGCTGTTAGCCACTATTGTGGTGCTGTTATAGCCGCTAAGCGATGCTGATATTGCTGAATTGCTGTGGTGTAGTATAAGTTGTGCGGGTGTGCTGATAGCTGTAGATGTTTCCATTCATATATTTATATGTGTATGTTGATTTCTTTACACTAGCTTACCATTTGTTGTCTCCATGATGTTTGGACTGCAATGATCATACTATGTATGGGAGCAGAGCAGGGATAGGTTGGTGGCTGGTGTAGGGTCTGTAGCTGGCAGACGGAGCTGATCTATTTAGATGTTTTGTTGTTTAGCTACTGGGTGTAGTAGCTTTGATGTATTTTTGTTGTACACTCTAACTCTAGTCGGATTTGGAACCTTGTACATACGTATATTCTAGATCCTATATTATATACTTGTTCTATCTGTTTAGTGTTTCCAGTATGCTGTGCCGTGTGTAGTGACCAGTTAGGTCGTTACATAAAATATTTTTTATTATAAAATAATAGATAAAAGATGATACTCTTATATAAGATTATTAGCATATAAGGTCATTAAAACAAGTGTCTTAGGTCTCCAATTTTCGAAATTCCTGCATTCCAAAAAATAAAATAAAATTAAATGCCTCAACGTAAAATGGTAAAATGCCTCAATTCATTAAAAAAATCCAAAACATCAATAAATTAAATCTAGTCATTCTATTGGTTATTTTGCATTTAACAATTAACATTGAATTGTTACATTTTTTTTTAATTAAGTGGGACTATGTAACATTAATTTTTCAACACTCTGCCTTTTATTGAATGGTGAGAAAATATAGATAAAAAAAAAGTAATTGGTAATAGATTATAGAAACATTACACTACACTACATTAAAAAAAATGCTAAATGAATGTATAATGTATTGTTTATAAAACATTATCAATAATTGCTCTTGTCAAAAAAAGTTTTCTAAAATTAAGATTGTTTAAATTCAATCTAAGATCCACGATTTTATAAGATATATTAAATATATTAACCATCTGAAATGTTAAAATTATTTAATTAACATTGATAATAATTTTACAACTCAAAGAGTTAGAAAGTAATATAAAATTAATAATTAATAAGTTTGTCTAAAATATTTGTTTTAGACCTCAAATTTTTAAATTACCACCCTATTTTCACACCTATTAGATAGAGATTTAATAAGGTATTGGAGATCTTCAAATTAAGCTCCAATATCTATGTGGTGTCTAATTTGACCCATAATTTTCTTGTTAAATTGAGAGTTAGCAAAGATTCATCAAAGAGATTTCATTTCTATCGTCAAAAAATTTTCTCAAATAAATATGTATAATTAACTATTGTTATAATTAAGTATAATCAAAATTAGTTTTTATTTGAATAAGTTTACTAAAAAAATATTTTAAGAATTTTCAATGAATATGACTTTTAAAATTATATTTCTATAGAAATTGTGATAGTTGTTTTAAATGAAAATATTTGTAAAAATTATTTTTCAATGAGAGCATTGTGGACTAATTTTTTTTCTTGACATCTTATCACTTTTAGTTTATTTTTATTTTAAATTTTATATTAAATTATATTTTTAAATATCAAGATTTAAAATAATTTATTATAAGACAAATGGTTTACTATAAATTTAAAATATAATTTATATATTTTAAATATTTTCATTATAAATTTAATATTTAAAAATATATTTTATTATAAAGTATAACTATTTAATTTATCGGCTAAAATAATATTATTAATTCAATTCAACAAATTTATCATACATATTACTTTGTGATTAAATGATAAAATATTTTTTTTTATATTATTAATGTATATACCATCTTATTTTATGGACATAATTTATTTTTTTATACACTATCAATATAAAAAAAAATTATATTGTGAATCAATTAAAAAATATACTTTACTTGTCTCGCAATAATAAACTTTATACATGTAAATTAAAAATCACAATAAATATATATATATTTTATATAATTTTATTAAAGTTGCTTACTTTCTTTATAGATACATTACTTTTAATTATGACGGTCAAATAATTTATAAAGAGATAAATTAAAGAAAAAATTCATATTACATTAAAAAATAAAAACATCATTTGTCTTTAAACATCTTCTAAATATTAAAATTCTAAATGCTAAAATTAAGATTATTGACTTCTAAATATTAAAATTCTAAATGCTAAAATTAAGATTATTGAAGGATGAGGAGTAATAGATATAGTTTTTTTATAATTAATTATTCAAATTTATTGAATTATAATTGGATAACAATATAAACAAAATTACATTATCATGCATAAAGTATTATTTCTTAAGAATGTATTTATTTATATAGTTAATCACCTATACTTTGTAAGTGTAAAATTTTTTTATACTGATAATTAATTATATTTTTTAATTGTGTCATGTCACTGTTAAAAGTAAATGTATTTACATTAACATAATATAATTAAAAGATATAATTAGTTATTAGTATAAAAAAATTTATATATAGATGAATAACTCTTATTTATAAATGAAAATGAACAGAAATGTTATTAAGTGAGGAGAATTGGAGTGGCAACCACTGACCACACATAGGCAACAGAAGAGTGTTAGCATTTAGCAATATAGCAAGGATGGAGGAAGGTAGAAAAGAATGGTTGGGCGGTGCTGGCACATGGGTCCCCACCCCATATACCCACATTCAATGCTGTCCCTTCTCCCTTCACATTCACCTTAACCTTCTGAATCATCCTTTTTCCCTCTTATTCTTCATCGTTTTACTCCCCCATCAATATTCAACTTCAAACCCAATGTTGTAACTTCTCTTCTCTTCTCTTCTCTTCTTTTCTCTTCTCTCTTCACTTATTTTCCCTCACTCTACTAATGGACGCCTCCGCCGCTACTTCTCCGCCGTCCCGTGTTCTCCTCATCTCCGCCGGTGCCAGCCACTCCGTTGCGCTTCTCTGTAAGCACTCTCTCTCTCTCTCTCTCTCACCTTGTTTCAAATTTACAATCTTTTTTCAATTGGGTTTCTGTTTTTTGATCCTCTGCAGCTGGAAATGTTGTGTGCTCGTGGGGTCGCGGAGAGGATGGGCAATTAGGTCACGGTGATACCGATGATAGGCTCTTACCTACGCAGCTCAGTGCATTGGATGCTCAACATATCGATTCCATCGCTTGTGGGGCTGATCATACACTTGCATATTCGGAGTCGCGCAATGAACTCTATAGTTGGGGATGGTCTGCAATTCATCCTTTTTACTAAAAATTGCACTCTTTTGGCACTTGGGTTAGATTAGACAGGGATCAAGCAAGTTTATGGATCCTTTTTTCATACTTATATACCTACCTCTGTCTTTGATGATTTTAAGAATAGGAATGTTTTTAATCTTTTGAAAGAGATGGGTTTTATTTTTAAATTAAATTAAATGTCCATTTTCTTTTTTTAATTATATTTCTGTACTTGTGAGTTGAGTTGGTCTCTCAGTACAAGGGCTGGCACCTGTTTTTACCTTTTTGGTAAGTGGATTATTGAAAGACAATTTTGCTGAAGTTTAAGAAGTATCCTTGTACTCAATAATTTTCCATATGGAAGAGATGGAGATGTATTCAAGTTTGGTTTTGGTTTGGGTGATTGGACATTGTATGAACACTGATCATGCTGGATGGGTTACCAACTCTTGCCGTATGATACTTTGTGTTGTTAATCACCCTTCTATTTCCGAAATTTTTTTGTTCTCATACATGGTAGTGTTTTGGTATATGGTTACCTTTGATATACTTTAATTCTCAAGCGGATCATATTCTGATTTTTCCAGGGGTGATTTTGGAAGGTTGGGTCATGGTAATTCTAGTGATTTGCTCATTCCTCAGCCTATTATAGCATTACAAGGTCTAAGGATAAAGCAAATTGCCTGTGGGGATACCCACTGTTTATCAGTTACCATGGAAGGCGAGGTTCAGAGGTTTGTATTTCTCAACCAAATTTTATCATTCTCTGTTCTGACATTTTTTTAATCCATATACTAAGTACTATTCCTATTCTATACTATTAATAAAGGAGATTGTCCCATTCCTATTCTATACTATTAATATAGGGGATTGTCCCATTTGGTGTCCACATTTTTGGACATTTTACCCTACTCTTTTATAAATTACCAAATTTTTATTTTATTTTTTATTTTTTGTAAATTTCACTCTATAACCTCCAGTATTTTTAATAACTACCTGCTATTATATAATTTTTTAAAAAATAATTCATGGAGGCACGGAGTGTCTTTTGTATGCTAGTGTCAACAATGATCGAGTATATAGAGAGCATTTTTTTAATGCATGCTGATTCTTATGTCTGATATTTTTAACTCCATTCCTTTGTCTTCCCAATTTACTGAAGAAAAGTCGAATAGAATATTTGACACCGAAACAGATAGAATAGAAGTTGATTTTGCATTGGCCCATTTGATTTTGGGAACAATTTCTTATTATATTCTTGTTACTTGAGTAACTGTTAGATGTACACTTCCTATGCAAACACTCCCTGTATCGATTTGGGGCTTGTTTGGTTAAACAACATAATTAAGGAATTATTATATTTGTATTTATATATAAGCTGTTTTTATAACTGAAGAGGGAAGAGGAGAGAGTGTTAAGCTGTTGTCATATAAGTTGTAAGTTGTTTTCATAAATTATCTTGGAAAGCTTACTAACATAAGCTGAAAATAACTTATGGACATATCATAAGCTCTTCCTAATGGATCCTAGATCTGCTACCTTGGACATGGTACACGTATCTGGTCTAGTACTTGTTTGAATTCTCACTTGTTACTACCAATTACACGACACTCACTATTTAATTAACATCCCATTTTAAATGGTATAAATTCATATAGAAATCCTTGTTTTTTTCTGTGAGGCTGAAGGACAGTTATTTGTTTGTTGTTTAGAAACTAAACCCTTGATGGAGGTGCAACCCATCGATTGTCTGATTCATCATAAAATTGGTTGTTTTATTATCACTTCTTCTGACCGTTGTGTTTTTTTCCCTCTTTATCTCTACTTGTTGAAGTTGGGGGAGGAATCAAAATGGTCAACTTGGACTTGGCACCACAGAGGATTCTCTAGTGCCACAAAAGGTTCAAACATTTCAGGTACCCTTTTAAAGGCATCCATCAAGGTTATCTGTGATAAATAAAGCCCTGTGAACCAGTTATCAAGAATAAATACACAATGATAAGTTGCTTTTACCATGTATATAATTGCTTCTCATCTGCCCTCTTTTTGAATCAATTTCAACAAAAGGATGCATAGTCTCTTTGCATTTGATGGGACACAGGACAACAGAAGAAAGAAAAGCCAACGGAAGTGAGGCAACGCAGTTGGATGGAATAATAGAATTAAAAACTGTTAGGTGGTTAGACGGTTGAGAGTGCTGGGAGCAGGGGCATAACTTTTTTGTTTATTTATTTTGTGGGGGGGGGGGGGGGGGGGGATGGTTTTTTTTTT